ACTTAGCTTACAAATTTAAAATTTGTGATAAGGTAAATTTATCTCATTTATAATTTTTTGAATAAAATTATGAAAAAACTTTTTTATTCAAACTAAATTAATTAAGCTTAAAATTTATAAAATATATGCCTTTAACTTTAATTAAACGTGATTTTCATTTATAAAAGCGAAAATTAAATTGGGAATTATGGAGCCTCTACTATTGGTACAGCACTTGGTAAGTGCAAGTTCCTTACTAATCTCGATTTTGATATTTAGTAACATTAATTTAAAATTAATTTATATATAATTTAAAAAGTTCGAATTACTTTTTTTATTTTGATTTAAATGTCAAATCAAATTTAAATAGTGAATAAATTGATCTATTTTGTTTGAAAAGGAAAAATCAAATTGGTGATAGAGGAGCATAAAATATTGGATTAGGTTTGAGTAACTGCACTCAATTAACAAATTTAGAATTTGGGATAAGGTAAATTTATCTCATTTATAATTTTTGAATAAAATTATGAAAAAACTTTTTTATTCAAACTAAATTAATTAAGCTTAAAATTTATAAAATATATGACTTTAACTTTAATTAAACGTGATTTTCATTTATAAAAGCTAAAATTAAATTGGGGATGATGGAGCTTCTACTATTGGTACAGCACTTGGTAACTGCAAGTTCCTTACTAATCTCAACTTTTAAATTTGGTAACATTAATTTAAAATTAATTTATCGATAATTTAAAAAGTTCGAATTACTTTTTTTATTTTGATTTAAATGTCAAATCAAATTTAAATAGTGAATAAATTGATCTATTTTGTTTGAAAAGGAAAAATCAAATTGGTGATAGAGGAGCATAAAATATTGGATTAGGTTTGAGTAACTGCACTCAATTAACAAATTTAGAATTTGGGATAGGGTAAATTTATCTCATTTATAATTTTTGAATAAAATTATGAAAAAACTTTTTTATTCAAACTAAATTAAATAAGCTTAAAATTTATAAAATATATGCCTTTAACTTTAATTAAAC